CCCCCCCCCCTCCTTTTAATCCAGCCCTTCTGGCGAGAGGGCAAAAGTGGTACAGTCTTCTATAGTGTTTGTAAAACAGAGCCGTATCAGCGGGGGAAGTAATGATAACATTTGTAGTTGTGGAAGCAAAGATAACAGTAATCAGATCTCTGCTCTGGGCAAGAAAGAAATGGCCCGTGCCTCACCAAGGCCTGGGTGTTCTGTTGAAAGGTGAGTCGAATGTGTTGATGTGTTTTTGATTCTGGCACTTTTCCCATCCTGCAGTTCTTTTTAGCTCTTCACACTCCTTCCAGAAAGGAGACCCTACCCTGGATGGAGAGTCTCTGTTGCCCCCTTGCTTAGGTCTCTCTTGGCTAGTTTTTCTTACAGCCAATGATTGAGTGTTTCCTTTCCTCTCCAGCAGGTAATTTGACCTCTAGAATGGAAGGCAGGTAGGCTAATGTGTTCATTTTAGCAGAGGCCAATGGAGTGATAGCACCGGTGTGCAACCCATTTGGATTCCTTACAGAAAGGTTCTATGCTGGAGCGGCCTTTGCTCCCGAGCTCTCCAAATCTGATTCCCCTGTGGGGGTTTCCGTTTCATCATCTTCCCCCCAAACAGCACACAAACGTATTGGCACCAGGGGATTTCAGTAGTGGCAAGAACTGTAAGTTACATTCCCAAAGCACCCCAGGCCCAACACACCACCCCAGGGAGGGAAGGCTTTCATGTAGTAGAGGCCAGGGGCCTTAAAAGGTGAGCTACTTGGAGAGAGCATAAAGTTAACTTTATTAGGTGTGGGCTCTCACCGTTTCTCTGCTAGCTGACTTGTCCAGTTTCGTTTGGGGCTTGTAGTTCGGTTGGGGAGATGTGAGGAAGGAGTAGCTGTGATATCTTGGTGTAAGCAGAATAACCCATCACAGAATGGTCCCCCATTCACTTCTCACGGTTGCCCATCTGATATGTGTGTAAGCTCAGATCCATAATAATTGTAATTTTTAATGAAATCGAGGCAGAGATAGACTTTCTGTTTGGCTTGTAGCATCCCTAATTGCAATAAAATGAGGTATATTTTCATTTTCCTTTCCCGCTGGATTCCTAGATGGATGTCCTACTTGGCTCCCTCTTTCTACTCCTCTCTTCTTCCAAAGGAAATGGGAAATAGGAGTGTAGACTTGGGCTTCCGAAAAGCAGCCGAGGAGTCTATGGTTTGCCTGAGGACAGGTGCTAGGAGGAAGCTGTATGAGGAAACACAATTTTGTTTTAAATATATATTTCTTTCCCTGTCTCCAGACATAAATTTTTGAATTAAAAAATAATTTGGAATGCAATGCAGATGTTGATATTTGAAAATCAAATCCAATTGGCCCTTGGGTTGCTAGGCAACTGGTGGACTCCAATGGGTTGGAGTTTTAGGATAGGAAGGATTCTGGGAGACAAGATGGCAGGAAGCGTCCAGGACTATGTGATGCTGTGGGCTGAGGGCAACAGGCGAGGGCAGGTGGAGTCTCCCATTGCTCACTGTTGATAAAAGCTGGGCTCTTGTCTGAGCACACACTTTAATTTCACTGTGTCAATTCTCATTATCTATCTGCATGGATTCCCCTTTTTGGTTTGCAGAAATAATTGAGTAAAAAGGCCGTTTCACTCACTGCATTTTTGGCATTGATAAAGACATCTGAAGCATTTCAGACAGTGTGGGAGCCAGTATCACGGCCGGGCTTTGAAGATGTTCTTTCAATAGAGTTCTGACAAACAGTGGCAAACAGACCAATTAACCCCAGAATCTAAGCCCTGGCTGCTTTAAACTCCTTTCAAACGAAATTAGCCCTTGATGCTAATGAAGTGGGTGTCAGACCATTTCAGATATCAGCTTGAGTAGATTGAGTCAATTGGATGGAACCATTACGCTGCCTGGGCAAAAGAGGAGCCTGGAGTTTGAGAGAAGTTTTGCTACAGTTGCTGTCTGAAGGATAGGAAAAAAATTTCCAAACCATAATTGGAGCAAAAATTTCCAAGTGTAATACTTGAAAAAAAAAAAGTTAAGGGGGGGGGGGGAGGCAGAAGACTCCAGGGAAGAAAGAGAAGGAAGCATCTGGGAGTGGCCGAGTCACGCTGGTTTTGTGGTTAGAATGAGGATTGTGTTTGGGGGCTCGCTCTGTAGTGATAAGCCTCACCAATACGTCTCTCTTTGCCAAGGCAGTCTTGACTTGTTGATTCCTTTTTGATTTTTTAGATCTCCGGGGAGAATGCCTGGTTGCCGCGGGCTCTGCAGGTCTGTAGATGAATTGCCAAGGCCAGGGGTGTGGCACCGTGTTACCTGGATGCTGACAGGAAGAGGACACTGTTTGCCAGGGGGAATTGTTTGCGTGACACGGGACCTCACGACTCAGACCTTGTGTAATCTTGCTTAAGTGTCCATTACTGAGACTCTAGTCTTGCTTTCTCCAGAAGAAATAAACCCTTCATGGATACAGTCTCTGAAACAAGGAAACATTGGGCCCTGTCCTGCCAATGTTTGCCAAGGAAGAGTGGGAAAGAGAGAGGAAAAAAGCAATCCTACCTTCTACGTGCCTGAGAAGAGAGCAGAAGGGCAGTGTTCCGTGGGATAAGGGACTCAGGCCTCCATTGCTGGGACTACGTGGACACAGAGGAGGGGCATGTCTGGTTCAAGCTCCTCCTCCTCTACAGCAGCTGGGTTTTGTGTAGGAAGTAAACATCAGAGTTTTAGCTTTAAGGAATCTCACCGGTCCTTCTTCTATCTCTGACTTCCCCAGTCTGCAGAAGTCCAGAAGAAAAGAGAGACCAGGAGGTAGACTGGTTGTCCAGAGTAAAGTGACTGAATGCTGAGACCCTATTCTTCTGCCTTAACTGGTCCCTGCTTCTTCCATGGCAGTGAGTGACCTGCCAGTAAGGGGTGATGGTTAGTTTTAATTGTCAACTTGACATAGTCTAGAATCACTTGGGAAGAGTGTTTCAGTGAGAGGTTGTCTAGACTGGGTTGTCCTGTGGGTATGTCTGTGGAGGATTATCTTGGTTGTATTAATTGAGGTGGAAAGACCTATCCACTGTGGGCAGCACAATTCCCTAGGCAGGGGGTCCTGAACTCTGTAAGAGTGGAGAAAGTGAGTCCAGTCCTAGTGTGTATGCCTTCACTTTCTCTCTGTTCTTGACTGTGGGTGTGACTAGCTGCTTCAAGTTCCTGGTGACTTAATTTCCCGAAAATAATGGACCAAAAGCCCTTTCACCCTTAAGTTGCTTCTGTCAGGATATTTTGTTTTTCATGGCAACAGGAAATAAAACTAAGACAAGAATCAAGGTTTAAAGGGCTGGGTCAGTATCCTGAACTTGTGACAGGTGCTTTTTACTAGCCTTCTCCGTGGTACTATGTTCTTAAACTGGCCGTGGGTTGAGGGTTTGGGGTGTCTTCTGGTTGGAAGGCACAAGTTCAGGGTAAGTAAGATTCCTATGAGTATGGCTGAGGTCAGAGTAGATCTTAGAGGCTACCTTCCTCCATACCTTTCCGGCTTTACTTTCTCATACTTGACCTTGTTATTTCTAGTCCTGTTCCCCTCCCAACCATATACTACTCTGACACCCAAATAGTAGGAAGCCTGACTTGGTACAACAAGGTAACCCTCCAGCACTAAGCATTGGCCCTGCCTGTAGGTTTAAGGCCCTGATGTATTTTCTTCAGGAAAAAAAAATGTTCCAGACTAGTGTAGTCATTTATGGGAGTCTATGTCCTTTGTCTACCATGTGGGTATCACCCCAGTCCTCTATATACTGGTCATCCACTCCAGCATCCAAAATAGACCATCACTTTGTTTAGCTTCCTTCTCAATTCCATGTCTATTTTAAGCAAGGCATGGCAGAAACCAACTCTTCGTCAACACAGGAGGTTCTTCTTTCCCAAGGATCCACGAGGCACTACTCATGAGACAGCAAACTTCCAAAGGTGGCAGACCAAGCCCCAGAACCACTTGAGCAGGCCAATGTCTGCAGAACTGTCTACTAACCTTCCGGGCAACAAAGTTTGCTGCTGAGGTGTCCTCATTCCATTCTGTAAGTCCCCAAGGTGGGATGGTTTTTGTGGGACACCAAGATAGGTAGGGCTTTCCTAAGGGCCTGAAGCCCTGCCTACCCATCTCAGGGTTCCCCGCCCTCCCTGCCAGGTGTGCGTTGCAGTGGGATTGTGAGTGGTGGTGGTTTCCACCCACACATGATCATCTAAGTTAATTTTCCCTTTGGTTCTCTTTTTCTTAGCCTGGTAATCTTTATCCTGTATCAAGGAAAGGACTCATCTTGTTTCCATTCAATTCCTTGTTTGAGGTGCTAGGATTCGAACTCCAGTCCTCCCCGAGAGCTACAAGTGCTCTTAACCACTGAGCCTTCTTTCTAGCCCCAACTTCCCCCTTTGAACAGGAAGGGTAAAAGGTCCAGTCAGCATTTCCTTCCAACCACGCTTCTGCTTCTCTGTCACCTGCAGAGAGCAAGGAGGGTAGAAATAGGAACCTGGGTAGAATGTGAGTCTTAAATAATGTTTGTGATGAAGAGAAGTGTGAACTCAGTGAGGAGACATTGTGGACAGGCAAAATGAGAGTGTCCTGTGCTGAGGGGAGGCTGTTGCATGATGGCAAACCTTCAGTCTAGAAATGACACTCTAGTGCTTAGAAGTCAGGGGCATGTGGTGAGGCAGACAGACCATGGGGCAGGGGTACATTTGGTATTTCTGTTGCTTCTGACATGGCAGCAGGGGAAGAGAAATGGGACTTAGAATACTGTAGGAGAATGTTTGCATCAATGACTGAACCGAAGTTGACCACACAGGAAAAAAGGAATAAGGGGCAGAAAGGGTGGAAACCGAGGCAAGTGAACAGTGGACAGCAAGGCCTGAGAAGAACCTGTTGGAAGGAAGGAAAGCTGTGTTCTGAAAGCGTGTCCCAATCTGCGATTGCGTTATAAGCATTATAGGCATTGCCTGCCTGGCTAATAGTTAACTCTCTGGGAGTGGAGAATGAGATCTGTGTAAACAAAGGGTCAAGGAATTGTAGTCTGAAGTTTCTCCAGTTCTGCCAAGCCCTGCAGTCCCGGTGGCTCACTTATAAAATAATCACTCAGAAGCTTATATTAATTAAAACTGCTCAGCCATTAGCTCAGGCTTACTACTGACCAGCTCCTACACTTAAACTCCGCCCATTTCTGTTCATCTATATGTCGCCACATGTTCCGTGGCTTTAGTGTTGCCATTACATGCTGCTCCCTGGACAGCAGGATGGTGTCTCCTGACTCAGCCTTCCTCTTCCCAGAATTCTCCTTGTCTGCTTATCCCGCCTATACTTTCTGCCTGGCTACTGGCCAATCAGTGTTTTATTAAACCAGTGTACAAAAAAGCATTATCCCACAGCAAGGACTCAAGAGGGCAGGGTTGGGAGGGCTGCCCACTTGCAGAGCTTCTCCCAAGGGAACAGGGGCCTGAAGAGGTAGGAAGAGGGTCAATGGAGGCGTGGCCACACTGGCTGTCACAGAGACAGGCAGAGTGATGGAAGGAATGGGCCTGTTTACCTGAATGTGGAGTGATGGCTGTTTGGAGATCGTGTGTGTGTGTGTGTGTGTGTGTGTGTGTGTGTGTGTGTGTGTGTGTGTGAAGTCTTTGAGAAGGCCTCACTGGAGTGTGGGGGAGGGGCAGATGTCATTAGCAGTGAGGCCACAGAGGGTTAATAGTCTCACTGGAATTTGATTTCTGATCCAGCGATGGGATCAAAGTGGAGATGAAAAGGTGCTCAGGGGCACAATTTCCCCATCAGCTCAGGGACATTGAGGCCGAAGGGCCAAAGTCAACTTCAAGTATAAATGTCCTTTAGGGCTCTAAATGCAGTGGCTCAGTCACATGGGTAGCTTAGGGTAGTCACCTGCTTCCTGGCTACTGTTTTGAGAGGCACTGGGATGTGGGTGACTCTTTCTGATGACATCCGCCTCTGATGCTGTAAACACCTTGCGTGGTTGTACACTCTAAGTTTGTCACTCTAAGGTCAAGGAGCATAATCTTCTAAGTTTATTTTATAGCCTTGGCCACCCGAAAACGCAGCATCGGAACTTGCAAGCGGCCTGCAAAGGGAAAGAGTTGTTCTATCGCCTTTCCCGGGTGCGTTCACGTCCCAAAGAAGCACTTTGGGAAGCATGGCGAACAGCAAAGGTCTGTCAGTCACTCTTTTGTACTGGGGCCTCCTGCTTCAGGGCTTGAAGAAGTAACTCGCCCCCTCTCTGTCCCATAATGATTAAAGTGAGTTACATAGATTGCCACTTCTGCTTCCTAACTCATAATGAGTGATCCATGCATGTGCTTTTCCTGCCTGGCTTTCCTCTCAGACACCATTTCAATGAGCAGTTTTATTTACTTAGTGCTTTCCCAAATATCAAATGTTTTATAGAAGTATGGAGGAGGCTGAGTGAGGAAGCAGGCTCCAGGTTGACAAATGCAGAATGGAAGCCACTGACTCCTGCAATCCAAAGCCACCATGGTCCCCACCAACTCCAGAGCACACCCACATCTGTCTGCTGTGATAAACACTGGCCAAATGGATGTTCCCCTGTCCCTGACACCCATGAATCCTAGACTAATGCTGCCATGGAGAAGCTACATGGCTCCAAGGCCAGGCTTACCAGAAGGGGAAGAGTCAACAGAAGCATTCCCTTTCCCTTCCTAATCACCACGCTTGAGTCTGCTTGGGTAAGATGAACATGTGTCTGAAGACTTAGTTGCAGGGGCATCCAGGAAATGGAGCGTCCAGCTTTTTAGCCCCTATGACTCAAGCAGGTGTGTAAGAGTGGGAGAATGGGTGTTGAGTACCAATGGGTATTGAATAGCACTACAGCATGCTAGACTTGTCTCATAAGCAAGATAATTGGGGGATGTTGACCAGTACTTCCGGGTATAACTGTTGATGCTCCCTGGGAGGTTACAGAGTACTCGGATGAGGAGAAGGCATGGAATGAGCCACCCAAACTCTGTGATTCTCCTCAGTTTCCACCAACTGAGAGCACAGCTGGTATGCAGTACACATCTGCACACATTGCCCGGATGCACTGTCCTTTGTGCTTCCTGTCCTGGGTGGGGGTTGGTATTAGTGCAAGGTGCTCTGAACCAAGACTCTGACTGCCTTCTGCTATCCACTAGGTGTGACCTCAACCTTGCTCCTCATTTGCCAACCAGAGACAACCCCCTTGTCACATTTAGCAGCCTCTAAACTTATGAGAAACACATTCGAATGTGGTCACTTTATTCCAGAGCAGCATCGGAGAATCACGTATTTCTTTTCAATATAAACATTGTCAAAACCACACTATTCGGGTGTGCATGGTTTCTGGTAAAACAGGGGCCGTTAACCCTCTGTCCTTGCAAACGTGGCCATAAATAGACAGTAAATCTTGATAGGTATATCAGACTGCTGAATTTGGATTCAAACCTACTCATCCCCACAAGATCAAGTTCAGTTTGATGGCTCAGCCCTCTTGCCTTGGCAAAGGTTTATAAATGGAAATTTTGTGGATTTCTTAAAAAAAAAAAAAAAAAAAAAAAAAAAAGCTCGAATGTTAAAATGGAAGCTGAATTTCACTGTTGGAACCCAGGCCCAAACGGGGGCCTCTGTCTTTTGTTCTATGGAAGTCAAATGTCAATCCCTGGATTCTGTCATCTTGAGATTTCAAGGGACTAGAGCCATTTCCCCAAATGTGAATGAGGTCAGTATATAGATTCTATTGAGAATTTCTTCGGCCTGGGTGACATTCCTAAGCACGGGCCACCTGTTTAGGAGAGTCTAACCAGTGTGTTCACACAAGAATGTTGACCAGAAGAAGCTGCAAGTGTCACATGGCAGCTAGCTTCCTTCTACACCATACTTTAATAGGCCTCTCTTGACTGGACAAGGGCATGGAGCTCTCTACCACAGAGCAAAACCGTTTTTGGGAAGGCACAGTTGTATGGTTGTTCATTATAATCTCACATAGATAAAGTAGTTACTTCAGTCCATCTAGCCTGGCTTCCCCACTGGAGAGAGGCATCTGGGAAGGAAGCTTAAGAAACCCTAGGTGGAGGAAGAGCAGTTGAGTGTTAATCCTGTTTGACACTCTCTCTTGCCCAGAGCCAACAGTGTGTGTAGCTCACCTCTTACCGGGCACTGGGAGGGTTGTACAAGTCAGCCCGTTCCTCCACCCCTACCCCAGCCTCCTCGTGGTTTTTCTTTCTGTCAGCCCCATCTCCCATCCCCACCCCATCTTCCTCATGGTTTCCCCTTCTTAAGCAATCTGTATTGTGCTTCCTTATTCTTACAGCTGGTAGATTTTTGAGAAGTTCCCCAGTAGTTCATCATCATTGACATTTTATTCCTTTAGCCTGGATAGTGTTGTTTTGTTCTCCTTAGTGACCTAAGTTCCAAATCATTGATTTGTCACTTAATTGAGTTCCTTACTTTCCTCCCTTCACCCTCTTCCCCTGTCACTCCTGGAAGTGGATGGGCCTTCGCTGGACTAGGAGTCACTGGACTAGTGTGCTGTGGAATATTCCTTTACACTGTGTGAATGTATGTCTCTATGATTGATTGGTTTAATAAACAAGCTGAATGTCCAATAGCGGAACAGAATAAGGTTAGACAGGAATGCCAGACTAGGAGAATGCTGGGAGGAAGAAGGGCAGAGTCTAGAGTCACCAGTCAGATGGAGAACAAATTGGACACACAAAATGGGGTAGAGGTAAAAGTCATGAGCCTTGGACAGCACATAGATTAATAGAAATGGGTTAAGTTGTAAGCGCTAGTTAGTAACAAGCCTGAGCTATTGGCTGATCATTTATAATTAATACTGAGTCTCTGAGTCAGTTATTTGGGAAGCAGCTGCTGGTTATTTGGGAGCAGGAGGTCGAGACATAAAAAAACTGTGCTTACACTAGTGTAAGCAGCTTCCTCCCCAGGGCAGAAGGGTACCCAGAGAAGCTAGTGGAGAGTGGAACAAAGCAGGCACCTAAAGACTTCAAATAAAAGGGGCTTCCAGCAGATGGGTGTTGGTATTCCGCCCCACCCCACCCAGCCCCTTGGAAACCCACCCCTTGGGGCCACCCTGTGTCCCGACTTAAAATCCTCATTTAAGGAAAATCCCTCCCTTCTTCTCTCTCTTCCTCTTTCTCTCTCTATTCCCACGAGGTGTGCACCCTCAATCCCTCTCCTCCCCCTCTTTCTTTCTCTCTCCCTCTTTTCCTGTCTTTCTCTTCATCCCTCTGTTATAATAAACTTATTTCCATATGGATGCATTGCCTGGGGATATGAGTGACTGTCCATGAGCTGCAGCTGGCTGCTGCATCTGCCTGGCATGTTTTCCTTCATGGATGGGACACCTTGGTCTGGCCAGCCATGGCCTCCCATGCCCAATATCCTAACAATGGGTAACGCAAGAGGAGAGACAGTGTGGAGTAGAAGAGCGTAAAGTCAAGCACAGACTTTAAGCTTCCCAGTACCTCTGTTGTACCAAGCAGACAATCAGCTGGGTTTATAGGTGTGTGTGTGTGTGTGTGTGTGTGTGTGTGTGTGTGTGTGTGTGTGTGTATCCATGAGCAATAAGAAGCATGGGACATAGTCCTTAATGATAGTTTCTCATCCATTTGGATGTATTCAGCAAATCCACGCAACACTTAGGCAAATATTGACTGCTACATTGTGCTGGACAGAGCAGAAACTTGATAGTAAAGATGCTTAATTCACCATCTGCTCCCTCAACTTAACGGGGTGGGACTCAGTTCACTTTCCTGGAAGTGATGACGTCCAAGTCTTCTCAGGCAGTGAGAACAAGATCTCTCAAGCTGAGTGGCTTAGGCAGACGTTTTTATGCTCTTGGTAGCTTCTGGTGAGGGCTGGGCTTGAACACAGCTGTTCTGTCCTTTCCTCTGAGCATGTGCAGAGAGAAAGTTCTCTGACCGCTGTCATGGAAATACCCTTTGGATCAGGGCTCCCTCACATCCAACCTTAACTACTTTTTGAAGACCTGCTATTGTCTGAATGTTTGTGCTTTCCCACATTTCATGTCTTTTTATTATTGATTTGTGTGTGCACATGTACCATGGCATGTGTGTGGAAGTCAGAGACAACTTGTGGGAGTCAGCTCTCTCCTTCTATCATTTGGGTCCCAGAGATCAAACTCGTGTCATGGGTCTTGGCTACAAATTCCTTTACCACTGAGCCATCTTGCAAGTCCTTGATCCCATATCTTGAAGCCTAGGTGAGGTCTTTTTTTTTTTGGTTTTTCGAGACAGGGTTTCTCTGTGTAGCTTTGCGCCTTTCCTGGAACTTGCTTTGGAGACCAGGCTGGCCTTGAACTCATAGAGATCCGCCTGGCTCTGCCTCCCAAATTCTGGGATTAAAGGCGTGTACCACCACCGCCTGGCGCTCTTTCTCTCTCTCTCTCTCTCTCTCTCTCTCTCCTCCCTTAGGTGAGGTCTTTAAAAGTAATGATTTAGGCTGTGGGGACAGAACCCTCAGGAGTGAGTTTAGTACCCTTGTAAAACAAGTCTGAAGGAAGCTGCTGGCACCTTCTCCAGTTCCAGACTGCAGCAAGAGGGGCTGTTCCCACAGCAGACAGCCCACCTTTGTCGGCCAGTGAAGCCATCTGGTCTTGGGCTTAATGGCACTCAGAACTGTATTTCAGTGAAATACACATTTCAGTTTTGATAGCTACCTAGCCCGAGGAATCTTGTTATATCATCCCAGACGGACTCTGACAGGGCCTCCTCTGAATACACAGTCACACTGGCTGCTATGACGTCAAAGGCTGGAATTGAGGAGGAGCACAGTTTAATCCATAGCAGAAGAGATGGGCTAAATATTCTTTGAAAACAATTGGAGAATAACACAGAGACAGGAATTTTCACAGAACGCAGGGATTCCCAGGAAGCAAACACAAGGCTTTGTAGGCTTCAACACCACCCAGGTCACTTTGAGCCTCTGTCATCTGCTCCCAGATGTTCCCCCTTCTTCCCCAGGAGCAACCTCTCGGGTCCACCTGGTTTCTGACCACTAAGGATAGGGGATCTTCCAGGCTCTGGACTGAAGCTGTTGCAAACTGAATACTACACTACTCAAGCCTTTTGAGGTATGGTAGAGCAACAGCTGGCTTGTAAAGGCTGGATAGTTCTTCCAGCTATCAGAAATGTAATTTCTTCTTCTTCTTTTTAACAACTGGGGATGAGTGACCAAGTTTCTCTCTCTGCTTTCTCCCTCATACTTGCCTTCGTGGTTTTGAGTTGTACTGTGGGCCAGGAAATTCCTGCTTTCATCTCAGAGCACAGTGTGGAGCCACAGAGCTTTTTTTTTTTTTTCCTGGTTGTGCAAAATTGAGCTGGGTGGGTACATCATGGTGCTAAGCTGTTCCCTGGGGCTGCCAAATTGAATCTTGGCTTATGTGCTTATGCCCGTAAAAGGTTGCTTCAGGCATAGAAAAAGTCCAGGCATCTTGATGCCTTACACACACACACACACACACACACACACACGAGAGAGAGAGAGAGAGAGAGAGAGAGAGAGAGAGAGAGAGAGAGAGAGAGAGAGAGAGCTATCCTCCAGGCCCTGTATCACAGAGTACAAACTTGATGTCCCCATCCAAATGATGTTTGCCGAAGGAAACGGATTTGAAAATTCTTTGAATGGAAAAGCTGTCTGGGTCTGGAGAGTGTTCAGAGACACATGAATAACGCTAACACGAGGTTTTACTGAAAAGCTGGTTACCAGGAAGCCCAGGATCATTTTGCTGTGGCTTTTCACTGTATTAGAGGTTTCTAACCTCTTAGTTGGTGACGCAGTTGGAGCCACGTCTGATGATTCACTGGGGAGTGAGCGACCTTCTTTGTCTCTTTTCTTCTACCCATCAGCTCAGCCACAGTTGGATCGTGCCCATTCACAAGCTCCCGCCAGAGTGCCGACGCACACCCATGTGCAGGGACACACGTGCACCCGCTACACACAAATCCAGCTGCCTTTACCCTCTCCTCCCTGACTGCTATCACTTCTACTTATCGATGGAAAATTAGATCAAAGATGGCCTGCTCCACACCCGATGGCTGGAGCTGGTAGGAAAAGCTGATCCTGTGGGTTTCCTTTTGAACTCAGAGCATGTTGGAGTGGTGGTTCTGATGAGCAGAGGCACATACTGTCTCCCCTGCTGCTAGGACTTAAATGATTGACTGTTACTGTGTAGCGTCTCCTGTGGGGGTGGGGGTGGGGGGGGGGGTGAGGCACAGGTGGAGCTGGAGGTGCACAGTTTGGGTGTGAGGAAGTCCAGCTTTTAAATCTATCTCCTTTTCTATATCTACCTTCTGTCCAGCAACCAAGGGCAACTTCCCGAGCTCTGTCCCTGGATTTCTAAGGATCTTTGGTCATTGGTTGGTTGTTCTAAGGAGGCAGGTGCTCTATCTAGCTTTCCTAGTCTGATCCTCGATGAAAATCAATGAGGAGCTTACAGAAGTTGGGGGGCAGGGAGCAGAATGGGGGGAAGGCAAGAGTCTGGGTAGCAGTGGTGGTGTGGGAACTCTGAATTAAAAAAAAAGCGTGTGTGTGTGTGTGTGTGTGTGTGTGTGTGTGTGTTTAAGCATGAGCACACTTGAGCATGTGTGCACATGGGAGAATGTAAGGGCAACTCTTAGGTGTTAGATCTCTAACCACCATGTGAGTCTGTGAGTTCTGGGGATTATACTCAGGTCAGCTGTGTGGACGACTAAACCTGAGCACTCCAGGAGTGCAGTGAGAATGTTCTGTTTCCAGGTAAGCACTGGTTGTGGGTCAAATGGTCCCCCAGGAGGCTGAATGGGCCTATCTATGTTAGGTCGAGGGGCCCACAGCCTCTGGTTACAGGAAGCACAGGGTTGTTAAGGACATTCAGCTAGCTCAGAACCTAGTTCAGGTCTGGCTTCCCACCTGCTAACCACAAGGTGCTCCTGTTTCTCTGTGGCCAGAAAGAAGGCCCATACATCCTACTGGCCTAGGCCGAGGCATGGACCATGAGTGTAAGAACAACTTTGAGCCTGTTCAAGTGCCCTTGATTTTTACCAAGAAGAGCCACAAAGGCTGGGGACACATCAAGCAGGGTAGGTTCTTGGCCAGATGTGTGCCCTTACACAAGTCTGACGCCTCTTAAGACTCATAGAACAAGGCGGTTCTCAATGTAAGTCCGTGAAAGCCATCCAATGAAAACAGAGAGCAACCCAATCTAACCTGGCACCCTTCTTCCAGGCTTCCTCTGGGCAGAGGAGAGTGTTGAGGGCTGGAAAATGTGACTTCAGGGAAGCCCAGAGAAGACAGCAATAAAGACCAGTTTGTTTTCTGACCAGTTTTGAGGGGAGAAAGGCTTAGGAAGTGTCTTAGCAGATAAATGAGAGAGAGTTCTGGAAGACAGTTTGATGATGGGACAGGCTCAAGCTCGCACCAAGAAACGCGATGCTTCTTTAATTTGTTGGAATTCAGGGAAGTTTTACAGTAACCGCGAGGAAGCAAAGCCAAGGGGTTGTACGGATTTGTGTAGGTCAGTGCTGATGAAGCCTCGGACTGAGCATGGCAGGAAAGCAGTGCATGCTGGTGAGTGCGGAGGAAGGCTCAAGGGTGGGGGAGGGGCAGGAGAAGCCTTGACTTGTGCGTTTACTGACTTCCCTTAAGGAACTACTCCTGCTAGGGCTGACTTCCAGCTACCCTCGTGAAGTCACTGGACCCAGCATCAGGGAGAGACCTGCAGAATGTGTCCTTCCTCGCTCTACCATGACCGGCATGAATAATCCAAGCAGTTGCTCCTTAGCTTTGATGTGAGGCAAGCTGGGGCAGGGGAGGCCCTGATCTGGTTGCCTTTTGTCAGATAGGAGTTGACAGCCTGCCTCAAGATGGCAGGTCAGGCTGTTTTAGGGGGCTATGCCTTGGGCTGGGGGTAGGAAAGTCACCTACAGGTCACTGCCTCTTGAAGGATGTTATTTAAAATTCTCTTTTAACATGAATCCCAGGGAATCAAACGCGGTGGAGAAATTCCAGTAAGCCCAGAGGATTCTGAACAACACACCATGCTACAGGCAAAATATCACTGGGCCTTCAGGGGAAAGTGCCCATGGCTTGAACTGACTCTTTTTAATGATGTGTGAGCTGACCTCGGGTAACTGGATCAACAAGGGTCAAGGGGTCGTCCTTCTTGTGGCTGGTGAAGATTACTGGAAAAGGGAGCGATGCTGCCTCCTTTGGCACTCTGTACGCACTCCATATGTCTTGCATTTTAAAAGACTAGACCCGAATTAAAACCTTAGCCCTGAAGTATGGCTCCCCTTGTCAGTCTAGTGTGGTCCGGTGAGGAAGCACTTCCCTTACAAGGCCTCTTGCTTTGAGGGTAAGGTTGCAATGCTTGGGCCTTAGGAGAGCTGAAGGGACAGCCTCTCCGCTTTCCAGACAATCTGGAAAAGTGAGGTCACATGACCTCTCCAAGAGCCAGCCCTGCTTCTGAGTGTCTTTTCATGAACAAGGCTCTGTATCTACTGAATGAACAAATGATCAAACCCCAATATGCGAACATCTCCTAAATGAACTAAAACAAGAGGGAAAATTGAATGGCTTATCCCTATTAGCTTCCCTCCCCTCAAGACTCTCATTTCATGTGGAGCGTGGTATCACGAGGAGTCAGGACAAACTCAGGAGGAACTCAGGAGGTGGTGGGAGCCACAGGAAGCTTTGGACCAGGGGCTTCAAGCTCTGCCATTAGAAGGCAGTGTGGGGAAGGTGGACTGGGAGAATGAGATGTGGGAAGCAATGGTCCATGGAGATGGAGACGGACATGGCAGTAGGGAAGAGAGCAGATGAATGGTGTTTGTGGTGTGTGTGTGTGGTGGTGGTGTGTATGGTGTGTGTGGGGGGTGTGTGTGTGTGGTGTGGTTTGTGTGTGTGGTGTGTGATGTGTGTATGTGTGTGAGTGTGCGGTGTGGTATATATGTGTGTGTGGTGTTTGTGTGGTTTGTGGTGTGGTGTGGTGTGTATGTGTGTGTGTGGTGTGTGTATGTGGTGTGTGTGTGTGGTGTGTGTGTGGTTTGTGGTGTGGTGTGTGTGATGTGTGTGTGTGGTGTGGTTTGTGTGTGTATGTGGTATGGTATGTGTGTGGTACGTGTGATGTGTGTGTGTGGTGTGTGGTGTGGTGTTTGTGTGTGTGTGTGTGGTATGATGTGTGTGTGTGTGTGTGTGTGTGTGTAGTGTGGTGTGGTATATGTGTGTGGGGTGTCTGTGTGTGGTGTGTGATGCATGTGTGTGTGTGTAGTGTGGTGTGGTATGTGTGTGTGGGGGTATCTGTGTGTGGTGTGTGATGCATGTGTGTGTGTGTGTGTGTCTATGTATGTCTGTGTGTGGTGTGTGTCTATGTGTGTCTGTGTGTGGTGTGTGTACCTGTGCCTGGAGGTCAGACGATAACCTTGAATGTTATCTGGTGTCATCTACCTTGTTTTCATTTGAGAAGTTTTCCCACAGGCCTGGCACTCACTGAGTAGACTAGACTGGCTAGCCAGGGATGCTCAGGAGCCTTCCCGTTTCTGCCTCTCATCCCTGGAGTTCTAAGTGGCACCATAGCACCCACCTGTTTCCAGAATTGGTTCTGGGCATTGAGCTCAGGACTTCCTTCTCACAAAGCAAAGAGTCCACTGAGTCATCTCTGCAGCCCCTGAAGGGCTCTTGGCGCCGGCACGCGAAGCTTGGCTATTGTGCCGTTCACACCGAGGGAGCTATTTCAGCAGGTCAAGCAGAATCACCGAGAAGAGAGACAGCCGGGGGCTGCCGGGCTCTAGAGAAGAGGTCGTACAGCTGTTTTCCTGCCAGCTTGCTTATCAATGTTCAGTGCTGAGGCAGAACTCTGCCTGAGAGTGGCCTTCAAAAGGGAGGATGGGGGAGGAGAGGGCCCCAGGTGAGTCTCAGTGTTGGAGGCCATTTACAGGGAGTAAACCCAATTGGCTTGTGCTAGTTTGCAGCTGGCACCTACAGGGTGATATTATTGTTGTTGGTATTTAAAATTTTATTACATTTATGTATTTATTTGGTGTGGGTAGCCTCTCTCTCTCTCTCTCTCTCTCTCTCTCTCTCTCTCTCTCTCTCTCTGTGTGTGTGTGTGTGTGTGTGTGTGTGTGTGTGTGTGTGTGTGTTGGGCATACACATGCCACGCTGCATGTGTTGTCAGAAGACAACTTGCACGAGTTGGTTCTTTTTTTCTTCCATGTGGCTTCCAGGGGGACTGAACTCAGTTGTCAGTCTTGGCGGCGAGCACCTTTACCTGCTGGGGAACGTTATTAGTTAACAAATTGTCTTTTAGCCTTACGTATTTTATCTGTCTGAGTATTTTGCCTTCACATTTGTTTTGTGCACCATGTGCGTGTCTGGTGCCCACACAGGTCAGAAGGCGACATTGGATCCCCTGGAACTGGAGTTACAGACAATTGTGAGCCACCATGAGGGTTCTGGGAACCAAACCCTGGGGCGTCTACAAGAGCAACGGATGCTTTTAACTGCTGAGCCATCTCGCTGGACTCCCAAGGTGAGCATTATCGATGTCTTCATATTGTGGATGAGGACATCGGTGCACAGAGAAGAGCCATAGAGCCGGGAAATACTACCTCCAAGCTTCCAATGCCACCGTCACCTGTTCTGCTAAATCCAACGTGTGTCACTCGTTCCCCACCGTGAAAAACCAGTAACCAGCAAAGAAGGAGTAGAGGCCCTGTGCATAGCATTTGCTGTTTAAAATAATAGATGCTGTCAGAGGTCTGTATTTTTAGAATTCGTTGCCAAAGGCAGGCAAAGCTCTGTGTAGATCTGACCCCACCCTCTGGCTTTGGCTCGGCTCCTCTAGCTCCAGGCATCTGAAATAGCTTTCACATCGGTGCCTTTCCCTTTGGCTCACTGTGGTTTTACTTTACGGGCAAAGATAAAGGCTGTGTGTGACTTCCGTAAAATTGGGATTCACCTGCTTAGTGTTTTTTTTTTTTTTTTTTTCTTGTTTTTCTTTTTCTATGTCCTGGTTCCAAAAATGGTAGGTGGATGAAACCATTTTGATGGACATCTCCTCACAAACAACCACTCTGCCCAGTAAAAATCTCAACCTTAGCTGGTCGAAGCCAGTTACAGAAACTACCCCCCACTTCTTTCTGGGAGGTGATTTATGAGGGAACCTATAACAAAACCCTGGCTGACGATGTGGGGTGTGGGACACGTTCAGGGCAGCTTTTCCTTTCTGACAATGGGTAGCACATACTATAAAGAAGAAGCCCTTTGCCCCCACTGCTTTCCTTCGTTAGTGCGTGAGGGAGGCATAATAGAAGGAGAGAGAAAAACCCGAGGGCTCTGGTGGAGAGTTGGAGGTGTTGAGCTAATCAACCCGGAATACCTAACCTCTAGCTCAATTGCTGTTCGAGGCTAAGATGGAACCTACTTTCTGTTAGATATTCTGATACTTGTAGCTCAATGCTTTCTTAAGTAAGTAATCATTAATTTGTGAAAAACAAATCAAGAGAGAGTGACTAATTGTCCAATAGGAAGAAGAGTTGACTCTGAGGTACAGGAAGAATCACGTCTTGATATCTGGGTTCATCCCTTGGTCATTAATAAATGGTATGCCAATAATTGCAACGAAGCATCATTTATAACGCTGAAGGGATTTCATATCTTAAAAGGGGGCAGTTTGGTTGTAAGTGACTGAAAAAGAAACCCAGGAAATGATACCGGTGTGAAGGGTGGGAAATTTAAGTTTCAGTTATAACCGGATCCAGGGCTTGGATGATGTCACGGAGTCTTGGTCCCTCTCCATCACTTTGTTCTGTTTTTCTTTGAGTTGACATTGGGTACCAGTTCCAAGCAGTAGCCCCAAGGCTGCCAGCACCTTCAAGCCTGCGGTCCCCAGTATAAGCTCCTCATTTTCCTAATTGCTGTGGCCAGCTGCAGTGCTGGGGACTCCAGAGCCTCGTTCAGGCACCAGCCACTTACCTAACCCCGCTGCACAGGGAGAGCCGTCTCAGCTGACGGCCTGCAAACTGGAAATGCTGCTGCTGAGCAGCAGATTGAGTCCGGAGCTGTAAAACCTACAGTTGCCCCCTCCCCTCTAGTTTCTTTAAAAATCCGAGTTTTCTGGGACTGACTGGATGAAATAAAGAGTAATTGTCCCCCCACAACCCATTTTATCTTAACATCACTTCTTTTCTTGAATATTGCACCCCCTTCCTAACAAACATCATCCTTTTTGAACTATGTCAATTGTTTTTGGGGAGTGTGTGTGTGTGTGTGTGTGTGTGTGTGTGTGTGTGTAAGAGAAGGGGGAGGGAGGAAGTGAGAGAGATAGTGAGAGACAGAGACAGAGAGACCGAGTCTCACCCTCTAGCTCAGGCTGACCTCGGTATCCTCAGAGTTGCCCTTACAGGCCTGAGCTACCACACCCAGCTTTATCTCCATGCTGAGCAGAGAACGTGTGCCTTGAATCCAGCCCTTGATGGAGAGAAGCCTGACACGCCCCTTGCCAACCTCATGATGGACATCATTTAAAGTGACCCCCCAGACACATACAAACTGGTGTAGCGCATACTCCTCCGGCGTTGCCGTCCAGTGGTTTAAGGACAGGTTTGTGAAATGAAAAGCTGTAAGGGACGTTTCACTGCAAGTGACAAATGAGCTCAGGACAGACAGCTGGTGCACTGACCCTGTCTGTGACTATTTGCAGATTGAAGCAGAAGCGGAGACAGGCCTAGTGTGTGCTGGGGGAGGCCCTAAAGAAACCCAGGGCTTGCAGCCCAGAAGCACCCTGTCACTTACTAGTCAGTGTCTTCTCTAATAGGAGACTCGCAGGAGGCAGGGAAGCAGGCTATTACGTCAGGGGTAGCACACGCATCTGCAGGTACCATCTTGCTTGTTTGAGACCCCAAGCTTCGCGGTGAAATAAGGCATCCTGGTCACAGCCTCAGAGATGACATCAGAGCAGGAGGTGCCGGCTTCTTCCACGCTTGCTGGAAGGATGCTAGAGCAAAGGCTTCTGGCCCTGACTGGAGCATCCCCCCTCATTGCCCACACAGCATTTTGCCCAGCAGAGCTGTGGGCACAGCCTGCCAAATGCAGGAGTTTGGGGCAATGTGGCCCCTCCAAAGCCTTTCACATAACCCCAAGTTTGCCTCTGTGCTAATTTTCCATGGCACATGTCAGTTTGCCATACATCTCCAAGCTGAGACCAATACACATGTGCTACCCCCCAAGTGTTTCCTTGAGCTTGGAGCCCGCATTGCTGAAGGCCTTTTGCTGCTGGGGTCCCCGAAGCTGTGGCCTGGTGTCGAGCAGGTGGACCAGCACTTCCTTCCAGGGCATTACAGAGTTTAGTACCTGAGGTCGTAGAACTGAGGGTTTTGCGTTCTAGGTGGCTGTTCGCTTCTAGATCCTAGAGGGTACCCACTGCAGTGGGTGTCTCAAGGTCTTCCAAAACATACTGAGTCGCCTCTTAGAGGCCAGTGCGGAGAGTTTCTCCCTCTAGTCTCAGTTGGAGGAACTATAAGAGTGACAGTCCCGTGTCCCTTGCTGTGGAATGTCGCCGAACCAAGACAGTTTGGGGGATGGGGTGGGGTGTGGCCCTCAGAGACCAGAGGCACTAGATCATTTGGAACTGGAGTTACAGGCAGCCGTGAGCTGTCTGCTGTGGGTGCTGGGAACCGAACCTGGGTCCTCGGCGAGAACAGTAAGTAGTCTCAACCTCTGAGCCCCCTCACCAACCCGTGTGAAGAATTTAAAAACACAATACATCTGTGAGCTTCTGCTGGTTCACACTTGAAATACTGAATCTTTGTAAAAAGTGTACATACAGCCTTAGCAGAATAGACATTGGCCAGTGCCAAGGCAGGTTAAAGAGATGGTTCCCAGTCATCCTGGCCGTGAACCACAGGGGATGGCCCTGAAGAGGACTGCCATTCCCCACTCCCGGAGCCCTGGAGTCTGTCCCTTTTTGTGAGATTCTGCCAGGGTTAGCAGGGCTCTTGAGCTCAGGGATCAAGCCCCAGCTGTGACCCCCCATCCACCACGGCTTCTTCCTCCCGTGTCCTGCAGCTCTCTCATGGTCGACAGTGGACATCTTGAGGTCCATTTCTAAAGCCTGAGTAGGAGAGACTGGGTCATCCTGTCTGTCTGGCTCTGAGGAGACTAGCCAGGCCTTCCTTTGCTGGAGTTTCGGAGTTTTAAGTCTGGGCACACCAGATGTCCTGTGAGCGTCCCCACAGGGAGATGGGGCGACAGAGCCTGAATGTACATGCCACCTCTGAAATCTGCTACTGTGAGGTGACCTTGGCTAGCTCATGGTCTTGTTTGCCACGGGCCGGTGTCTCCTTACCTGACCCATGGCTTGGGATATTTAATGAGACAATAAATCCAGTGGGATGAGTGTTAGGTGCGTTATAGGCAGTCTCAGAATGTCGTAATCTCTGTCTCTCTTCTCTAGCAGGTAGAGCAGGCTGCTGCGGCTCTTTTCAATGGCAGCCTCCACAGTACACACATGGCTAGCAGTGTGTCGCTAGCCCCGGAAGAAGTTCCGTTCCCATTCACAGTGTCCTTCAGCACCTCAGCATCCTGACCCCCAGGGTGAGGGCAGGACGTCACCGGTCAGAGTCCCCTGTGTCTATTGGTAAGCTCTGGGTAGTAGACCCTGGCCTGCAGGGGCCGAGGATGCTGGGCCCGAGCTTGTGGCAGGTATACTAGTGGCTGTGTACAGTGTCTGCCCTTGTATTCAGCACAGTCTCTGCGGATGTGGGGGTGTCACGCAGCTCCCCTCTAGGGCTCGGCTCCTGAGGATGGGGCAGGGCTTACGCTGGGTACAGAGGTTGCCTCAGACTCCCAGCCTGCATGAGCTCTCTGTGTTACACTTGATCCTGTATCATGGGGCTTTCTCAAGTGATTTTCCCTCCCCTGAAATACAAAGGAGGTTCTTGACGTTGGTTGTCTCTTACGGCTGGCCCACGCTGGGCACAGCTGGCTGGCAGAGGCTGTGGGCCTCTTGGCCTTTACCATTGCCTTTGCGCCTGACCGGATCCTTGAAATTGGTGACCAAAACGTGTGTGTGTCTCTATTTATGAGGGCCACTGAGCACCAAGTCAGTGCCCATTCTACGCAAACCCTTTCAGAGAGAGTCCTGGGAATGACCCAGAGGACACTGGCGCAGGCAGGCCTTGAGCTTTCTTGGTGACTCAACCGGAACCCCAAGCTGCAGCTGTTGGTGGATGACAGTCACATGACCCCATTGGGCAAAATGGCAGAACAGGAGGTGTGGGTGAAGGCTGCCTTCACCGACCTGGGACCTGAACGACTGTCCAGGTGCCCCACTCCCCCCACACACCCAGACCCTCTCTTGGTTTAATTTTTAAAATTCTTGAGAACGTTTGAATTAGGCTGGGGTTGGGGTAAGGTGGGGATCAGGGGAGGGGGGTTGCATTTTAATTTCATACGAGGAATCCTGTTTGGTGGCTTGCTGGGTTCAGGGGAGCAGAGTGAGGGAAGGGAGGGGGTCACACTGAGGGGGAGGAGGCGTGTCCACAGGAGGAACCTGTCTACGACAACAGAGACTCTGGATGGCCCTGGGCAAAGGGCTAAAGCATGGAGGTTTCCCGCTCCTAATTTTGAAGAAGCCAAGTGAACTCCAATGCGATGTCTGTTATGGGATGTCAGTTCTCAAAGGACTAATAGATGTTCTCCTAGCAGAGGATTAAACCGAGAGACAAGGGAGTATGTATCAGCTCGAGCATGTGTGCATCCATCACACACATTCACAAATACACAGGGAAAATATTGTAGGCAACGGTGACCACAGGAACATAAACACCACTGGAAAGAAAATGGTGCCTGTTGAGTTTGTCAATATCCCACCAAGTCTAAAAGACCACCAGGAATGCTGTGGAAAAGCTGGCTGTGAGGACCCTGATTAGCCTGGTGTCCACGGCTGTCACCGTGTCAATTGGTAAGGAGCGCTGCACACTATATAGCAAGGAAGCTGAGTCCTGGAATAGCCCACTAATCCATGCCCATCTGCATAGTTCGTAGCTGAACTGCCGCCATGTAAATCCAGACCTAGCTCTCCCAAGGAGAGCTTGCAAATTTAGTCAATAGGAATACAAATGCAGGGCTGGGGTGTGGCTAAGTCGGACAAAAGTCCTGGGTTTGATCCCTAGCATCCCATAAACTGGGCGTGTGGTGCATGTCTGTAATTGCAGCATTCAGGAGTTCTGAAGTTCAAGGTCAAATAACAAGTTCACCCTCAAATAACAAGTTTGAGACCTGCCTGGGCTTCATGAATCCCCGACTTAAAAGCTTATATTTACAAAACATTTGCTACGTGTTAATATTCTGATCCGCCCCTTGAAATCTCACCTCTTGGTGCCGCCCTGCATCCGGACATAAAAGCCCCACTCTAAGGAAAAACTCCTCCCCTTCCCTCTCTCTTTTGCTTTTCCTCCCATGAGGTGCACACCCTCAACCCCTTCTCTCTCTTTTTCTGTCTCTTTCCTATCATCTCTTTCCTTCATCTTTCTATGATAATAAACTCTCCCCATGGATGCAGCGTCAGGGTTGTGAACTACTGGCTGTCGCTGGCATGGCGTGCATCTGCCCAGCATGTTTCCCTGCATGCCCGGGATACCCTCACCACCACCACCCGTGCCCCCACCCCCACCCCCTCACAATAATTCATAACACTATGTAGTAGATGGAGTTCAGCTTAAGTAGGTACCTTGTGTTTCCACTTGCTAAATCTGGTGGCTTGCTAATCCTCCCAGGTTCGTACTCTCTCTTCTGTCCCTAAGATTTACTTATTCCACCTGTCCTCCATTGGGGAAGGCTGTGTCTAAGAGATGAGAGATTGCCGGGCGGTGGTGGCGCACGCCTTTAATCCCAGCACTCGGGAGGCAGAGACAGGCGGATCTCCGTGAGTTCGAGGCCAGCCTGGGCTACCAAGTGAGTTCCAGGAAA